GTATGATTCCACTTATATGAGGTACTTACAGTAGTCAAGTTCATAGAGACAGAAAGTAGGATGTGACTGCCAGAGGCTGGGGGTGGGAGGAATGGGATATATTGTTTAATAGGTAAGTTTCAGTTTAGGACGATTTTGGAAAAAGTTCTGGAGATGGGCGATGGTGATAGTTGCATAATAATGTGAATATACATACTACCACTGAACCGTACACTTAAAAATGGTTAAAGTGGTAAATTTTATGTTATGCATATTTTACCACAATGTAAAAAAGAAAATATGAAAAATAGAAGGTAAAGATGTACTGATTCAGTTTACTAAGTTCAAATTTAAGAAAAAAATTAGTACCAAATCTTGTTCTGAGGCTTATTATTCTTAGGAAATGTGCCTCAAATGAGTAAATAATTCAATATTTATTAGTCACTGCCTGCATGCCAGGCTCTGTACTAGATAGTGAGGTCTAGATATGGACAAGCTGATACTTTCCCTGTCTTTATCAATATGACAGTTTAGAAGAATAATAATCTCAGGAATTCCCTGGCGGTCCAGTGGTTAGGACTCAGCACTTTCACTGCTGTGGGCCCTGGTTCAATCCCTGGTCAGTGAACTAAGATCCTGCAAGCCGCACGGCAAGGCCAAAAAGAAACAAACAAAAAAACAAAACAAGAACAATAATCTCATTTATTAAATACCAAATATAAAGCAGGAATCTTATATTCTTTATTTCATTTCATCTTCATGAGGTGGGTATTATAATCCCCTTATTAAAGATAAGGAAACTAAGGCTCAGAGAGTTTAACTTTCTCCAGGTTCACTCAACTAGCAAGTTGGGTCTGCCTAATTCCAGAGTTGGTTCTCTTAACGACTGGTACGTATTGCCTACATTCACCTCTTAGGTGATCCACAATGCACTTTGCCAACCTGAAAGTTCCTGAGAAGTTCAGTAAAGAAACCCATTTAACTTGGTATGATTCTGCATATCCCAAATTTACCTCATTACATAACCCTCCTTTTTTGGGTGAGGGGAGCAGCACCCCTATTTAATTGAGCTGTGGATTCTTCCTGCAGAATATAACCACAACACCCAAGAGAATTAAAAACATATGTCCACACAAAAATAATCATAGGAATCATAATCGCAAAAAAGTGGAAACAACCCCAATATCCATCAATAACAATTGTGCACAAATTGTGGCCTATCCATACAACAGAATATTATTACACAATAAAAAAGAATGAAGTACTGATAGATGGTACATGGATGAACTTTGAAAATATTATATTAAGTACAAGAAGCCAGACAGAAAGGCCATATTATTAAATGATTTCACTTGTATGAATAGGCAAATCCACATGGCTGCCAGGGGCTCGGGGGAGGGCAGGAACGGTGAGTGACTGTTAATGGGTGCAGGGTATCTTTGGGGGATGAAGTGTTCTAGAATTAGACATTGGTGGTAGTTGCACAACTTTGTGACTATGCTAACAACCACTGAATTGTACACATTAAAATGGTGAATTTTATGACGTGTAAATTATATCTCAATTAAAAAATATATATAATCACAACTAAGTATACTAGGAATAATAGACCACTGGCCCAGCAGTCCTGCCGTTTCATACCGTATCATTAGTGGGGTATTAAAACTCCTTGGGGTTGCTCTTCTCCCCTCAATAGAAACAATCCTTTAAATCCTGAGCAGAAAAACCAAACAGGTACAGAGGAGTGAGAGCCAGCTTGGAAACCCAGGAGCATCAGTGTCTGCATGGGTGGTATCACACACACTGTTGGACTTTTTATCTGCTAGATGTGCTTAGTTAGCCTATTCTGACAATAGTCTAGAAGGTAAAGTTCCTAAACCCCTTCTCATCACCAGCAGGTTTTAATTCCACGTACCTGGCAGAGAGGTCTCCTTCTGTTTGAACGACATCAGATTCACCTAGGTGTAAAGGAATTATAAAACAGTAAGCTACTGATTAGAGAATTTTGGAACTGAAAAGGACTTTGGAGAGAGGCCATCTGGCCTGAATCTCTTACTTTGGATATAGGGAAACTGAGGGCCGGAGAAAGTCAGGGGCTTGTCCAAGGTCACATAGCCAGGCATGACTTGGCTGAGATTGCAATGTCTGTACTCCCCTTCTTCCCTGGAAATACACCACCCACCCCGGCTTCAGCTGTGCACATGATTTCTGAAATAAAGGCTATATTTCCTAGTGAGATGTGGTTGTATAACTAAGTTCTGACCCATGGAATGTAAATGGAGCAGTAGGTGCAACTCCAGGGGAATGTACTTAAAGATTAGGGCTTGGGGTGGGGCATGACCGTCTTCCTTTCCTTTGGCTTGGTCACAGATTAGAAGGCGAGGTAGTTCAAGCAGCCATCTTGGACCATGAGGTGGAAGCTGCATCTGGAGAATAGGGGAGCAAGAAAGTAGAATTGTGGCTAACCAACCTCAAAGAGGTCACAGTCTGAGGAACAGAAGACACATTTACAACCTAATGCAGAATAAACACCAACCCAAGACCAAATCAGCTGCCCTGTCCTGTTGATATGCCTTCAAATCGTAGAGTATGATTTATGGAATTGTCATACCAGCTCTGGAATGTTCATCTCCTGACCTTATGTGAAAGAGAAATAAACTTCTATTTTTTTCAGCCACTGTTATTTCAGTCTTCTATCATTCACAGTTGAACTGACTTCTAATTGTTTTAGAATGTAAACAATTACATCCTGGGCTGGGAACTCAGGTCTACTGAATTCAAGTACAGGACTATTTATTATGAAGATTATTACTATTAATAATAGAAGCCAAACTGTGCTAAGCGTCTTGCATATAATAGTTGCTGATAATTTTTGAGTGCTTACTATATATTAGTCACTGTTTACGTACTTTGTAAGTGTCATTAACTCATTTAATTCCCATGCCACCTCAGTAAGATAGAGCCATTACCATAATTTGCATTTTACAGACAAAGAACCTGAGGCACAGAGAAAAGGAATAACTTACCCGAAGGCACATATTTAGTAAGAGACAGAGCTGTGATTTGGCTCCAGAGCCTGCCCTCTTAATTCCTCCATCACACTCTCTTTTATGATGTGAGCTCCTCCTTGAGCTCTCTACCCATTCTACTGAGGAGGAAACTGAAGCAGTTGATTGTCTAACCATTTGCTTAAAATCTCTCTGCTAGTCAGTGATGGAGCTAGCATTAGAAGCCAGGCTCCTAACTCCCAGTTCAATGCGTTCTCCCCAGACCACCTTGCAGTCTCAGAGGCCACCTGGACAGATATATAGCCCTCCCCATCCAGTCTCCCCCTCTGTCATACACACACACACCACCACCACCACCATCCCCCAGCAGGCACTCAGACATTTTTGTGGCCAGGACGGCTACAACCTCCTTTGAAAAGCAGCCAGCTTTGCCCTCTACCAAATAACTCTGTTTTATTTATAGTCTCCTGCTCAGAGCTTTTGAACTGGCTGCTCATTCCAGGCAAGATCTTGATAACAACTGTTCCTTGGACAGGGTTCATAGGAAACTAGGTGAATAAACACCACAGAAGCCCTGCCTGTCTAGCAGAGCTTTGCTCCTGGGGTTGTTTATAAGTCAGTGTTGGTGTCTGGATGCAAAAGATTTGAATTCAAAATGGCAGTTTGGACATTTTAAATTTTTGTTTGTTTGTCTGAATTCAAAAAACTTCATTCTGTGCCTTCAACAACCTCAGGGCATAGGCAAAAGAGAGATATTATCTTTAACCAGAATGTAACTCCAAAAGGAGTTCTTGCTTTCTCTGCTCCCTGCCTGGCTAGGACTAGTTACTGTAGTGACTGTGGGGTGGGGAGCCACTCCATGATTTTATAAGAGCTAAAATGTTAGAAGAGATGAATGGAATTTCAGAACAGAAAAGTGTAAAAAAGAGAAGAAAAGCCTAATTTCAAAAGTGAACCATGAACCTACAGTGTCTTCTGACTTGTGGCCAAAGGTGCCATCCTAAAGCATAACTATGTCACGTGTCTGGAATTATTCAGCCCGAATGCTAATCTCCACTCCACCAGTTGCTATGCAACCTTCAACACATGCCTCAGTTTCCTCTTTGTGAAAAGAGGGGGTAAACTCATAAGATTATTGTGAGCATTGGTGCTAACCATGTAGGGGAAATAGAGTGCCTGCTTCAGAGAGGGCACTTACTCACCCATGCACTGAACAGTAGCTAATGGTAGTGATCATTACTGGCTTTGTGATTCCTCCAGGCCTAGAGGGGATGATATTGGGGCATTCATTAAAATGAGCCCCAAGGGGGAGCAGGTTGGTGATCTTGGCTCTCAAATACCTTCATTTGCCTTGACTTAGTCTCTATCAGGGACTGTTACGGTGACATGAGATTTCTCTACTGGAGGCCCCCAAATGGCTAACAAAGGGAGGCAGAGATCCTCAAGGGTAGGGCAGAGCAGAGCGACTAAATGGGTCCTATGAAGCCCTCAGGTGGCTTTCCTGTGGGGATGTGAGGTCTCCTTAAAGGTCTAAGAGGTTTAAGGTCTAAGGGGGTCTCCATCAAGAACCATGTTGGGGAAGTGGCTGGTGTGACAGAGAAGAGGGGCTATGGCTCCCTTAAGGAACTTACTGCAAGGTATGGGATTTTCAAAGGAAAAAGTTGTCTCTTCCTGGAAGCCTGAATGGGAGACAGATTATCTCTAAGCCAGAGCCACTGGCTGGGAGGACTCCACAGGAGAGGAATGGGTAAAGGTTTCTTCAGGTGAGCTTGGGGGTCTCTGTGGGATGAAGATCTTTTAAGAGGGGTTGTAGGTGTTGGTTTCTATAGGAGAACAGTGGGAGGGGAGGTCTTTAGGGTCCTGCGCCCGGAGAGCATCACGCACCGAGCTCCATGAGTCCACCGCCCTCACGCGGCACTGCCTCCCGCTAGCGGACTACACTTCCCGGCAGCCCCCACGGGCGGCGGCGGTGCGGGCGGGAGGGGGCGGCGGTGTGAGAGGCGGAGGGGGCGGCGCGCGCCGGGCACGCGCGCGCCGGCGACCATGGCGTTCGCCGGGCTGAAGCGAGTGCATTAACCCCGGGAGGCGGCGGTGGCGGCGGGGGAGCGAGCCTCGAGCGGGCGGGCCCCAGCCTGAGGGAAGGGAGGAAGGGGCGGGGAGAGCGCCGGAGGGAGGCCGGTCGGCCGCGGGCGGGCGGGCAGCGCAGCGCCGAGCGGGGCCCGCGGGCCCATGAGGAGGCCCGGGGACCATGGGCTCCAGGATCAAGTGAGTGCAGCCGGGCCGGGCGGAGCCGGGCCGGGCGAGGGGCGGCGAGGCCGGGCAAGGGCTGCAGGGCAAGGGCTGCAGGCCTCGGGCCGCGCGGGGGACTTGTTGCCGGGGCCCAAGGGGCTCCCCGCGTGACGCCGGCACGCGGGGAGGGGGACGGTTGCCATGACGATCCAGGGAGGCGCGGGGGCGGGGTGGAAGGGCGCTGGTGGTCAGTTGTTCCCTCCTCACCTGAGGGCGGGAACAGCTGAGATTACAAGGTGGCCCCCTCCCCGGGGTTACAGAGAGCCTCTGAAAACGGTCACACAACTGTTGGGGGGAGGGCGAGAAATCTCTAGAAGCAACTCCCCAAATGGGTGTTTGGGGCGCCCCTGAGAGTCGGGCAGGTCCTGGCTGCTTAAGGCCTGCGGGCCCCCATAAAAGTCGCGTGAGATTTTCAGAGGGAGGGGCCACTCAAGGACTGAAGGTCTGGATGGCCCGGGGAGGAAGGCCCTTTTCTCTCTGCTCCTGTGTCCCCCTTCTATCTATGCAAGTCTCCCCACAGCGAGTGCCAAAAGCTGTGAGGGAAGATACCTCTGTGCTGTAACCGAGCACCTGATCTTGATAATCGTTGGAAAGGTTTTGTAATTCAATCTGGCAAATTCCCTCACTCATTCATTCATCTGGAGTCCCTGGTGAGGGGTTAGTTTTCTCCGGAAAATGTTGATACATCTGACTTGGGAACCCACTGAAACATTATTGCCCTCTTTCTAGACCTAGAAGTTGACTTTGGAAAGTGCAACTTTTATGCAGTCCCATTTGGGTGTGTTGGTTTGGACTCTATCTCCCCTCCCAGCCAGGTCCTCTTTTGGCCTCTCCCTTCCTCAGTTCCAGAACATGAGATGCCTTATCTCTAATCACTAACAAATGTTCACTTTTTCTATATGAGTAATAGAATTGTTTAACGGCACTTAAAAACCCTGTTAGCAGCACAGGCTTTTCCTTAAAACAGCTTTCATAGGATACTTTAAAACCGCTTATAAGAAAGTCTGAGACATGTGTTTACTTCAGCATTTTGAGAATTATGCTAGGGAAGTTTGAAAGGGGAAGGGCCTTATGAGTGAAATCTAATAATTATTCAAGCATTGCATCTCTTGTCCCGTCAATGTCCATGCAGTGTTTCCTTTGCCCAGCCTTGTAGACCCCTGACCGGCTTAGGCCTCCATTCACAAAATGTATTTTAACAGGCTGCAGCCGCCCGGAGACTAGAAAAGTTTGCTGATGATAATGAAAATGGAAGAGTTGGATGAGTACACTGTTAATTCTTGATTTTTGTGGAAATGAGAGGAAAAAGAAGCATGCTCCAAATAAGAGCTTAAGAAGCTTGGGAGGTAAAAAGACGTAGCGTGTGAAGCATTGGGATTAAAGAGGCACTCCAAGTTTAGCTCCTGCTTCCAAGTAAGAGTTGTAAACTTGGGATTTCAATAGCACTTAGAAACACTTCACAAAAGCCACCATAGAGTTGCGGAGTATACTTGTGAGGATGCTTACCTTTCTTGTTACAGAGAAGTTCAGAAACTTGCCAGATGTGGGGCAAGTCCGTGTCAGAATCAGCATGAAAATCCAACAAGTGGAAGGAAGTTCAGATGACTAGGCATCAGGTCTCTGTCTTGCTTTTGAACGTTGCAGGTTGGCAAATACGTACCTTAAGAGTGTTTTGTGGAGCCCATCTATTTATCTCAGCGCTTGGGCAAGAGAACTTATACTAATGCATGAAATTCTGTTAAGCAAATTAGTATAAGGAATAGCCCTTTTGATCTTGAAACTAGACTGCTCGGTGATAAAAACTTAGACATGGGAATTATGTTAGCTTGTGGTGAGGCTGAAAGAGTATGAAGAGAGAAATTATGAGAAGTAGTTGTGATTTATGGTGACTGTTGACTATGTAGCTTCAGCCTGCAGGTAGGAATGAGGATGGACAGGTGGTGAGGAAGCCATCTTCTTCTTAGGCGCTGCCTTAATTTTGGGGGGAAACAGGGCTTTGATTACTGCTGACCGTCTGTTCCATCCTGATAGGAAAGAACAGACTGAGCTCAAGGTGTTCACCCGGCTGAGGTGTAGTCTAAGTGTGCAGGCTCTATTTTGTAGGACAGTCTTGGGGGTGGGGGAGGAGAGCATGGGGTGCCCCTCTGAGCAGGAGAGCGCCCTGGCCGCCTGTGCTTTCTCTCCTCATCTCTGATATTGTGTGGTCCAGTCACGCTAACAATGTGGAATCAGATTTGGATTCCTATTCCGGTTCTTTTGTCTGCTGACTCGGAAACTTTGTACAGACTTGGTACAAATACCTCTTTCTGCCTCAGTTGCTCTGAGGGTAAAATGGGGAAGACTATATGTTGCAGGGTCATTATGCGCAATAAACACAGTATCAACATGACTGCTGGGCCCATATTAAAAAGTCGGTAATTGTTAGTTTCTTTTACACCTTCTCTATCAAAAGACTAAGAAAACTGTTATATTTTATACCAGAAATGTCAGAGAACTGTGAGTTTCAGGTAATGGAGAAAAAGGTTTTGATGATCCAGGAATTACACTGAACATGCAGAGCAGGACTCAACATTCGCTCATTAAAACATAAAAATTGATTAAAAACAGTACTCTGCGTAATTGTGAAGCTGGTCTGTTATGTGATCAGTAGTAAAGCAGGTGAGTTGCTAGGCACAGGTGTTGAGGTTCAGTGCTTGTTCAGACTTTCCTTTTAAGCTAAGGCTGGTTGAACACAGTCTCTGTGTCAGGCATGGTGGTAGTGCTTTATGTGAACCATTTTATCAAATCCTCACAACTGTCCTGTGATGTAGCTACTGTTGGCTACATTTTTCAAATGGGAGAATGGGGGTTTATAGGCCTTAGATCAGATGCCATCCTGAGGAATCCTACCCTGATGACAGTGCCCTGCCCCCACCCCTCCTCAGCCTAGACCAGGTGTCCTTCATCCGTGCCCCCTCTTCCCCCACCTAGGCCAGGTGTCCTTCATCCGTGCCCCCTCGTCCCCAGCCTAGGCCAGGTGTCCTTCATCTGTGGACCCTCTCCCCCCACCTAGGCCAGGTGTCCTTCGTCTGTTTCTGTGGCTCCCTGTGTTTATCACTGTCATAGCACTAAATCCAGTTCCTTGTGTGTCTCCTATACTAAGCCCAACATAAACTTCTTGACAGCAGGGACCGTCTTATTTGTCTTTTGAGTTCCCTGTGTCAAACCCAGTACCTGACACATAATGCTGTTTAGGAAGAGTTTATGGAATGCTTTTAAGAAATATGTTAGGATCTGAATTAAGTTCCTAACTAAAGGCTCTGGGTTGAATGTACATAGAGCTAAAAAATAACAGTTTGCTATTTGAACTCTTGAGGAGGAAGAGTGTTTAAGTGTTAAGTTTTTAAGCCAAATTGCCCTGGTCTAGGCAGCAGTTCCTTATTTTTTTCTGAAGAGCGTTTAGTTCATGTTCATTTTAATAAAGGAAACTTGTCTTGCCTCAGACCAAACATCTACTTGACAAAGGAAAGAAAAGGTCACCAGTATGCAGGTAGCACTCTGGAAAGCTCCTAAACCTTAAACCTGAGCAGACATTTATTTGTCTAGAGAGATAAAAGGAGCAATGGTAACTGGCAGTCTTCAACAGGTGTGTTTAAATCTTATTTAGTGTTTGAGTGATCCCAGTGGACTGGAATGTGGTTAATATGAAGCAACTTAACTGATAATGTAGACACACAGCAGGAAACTGTGGCAGTTTAATATTGCTTGTGGTGACATCCTAGAAATTGTTTCCAGGCACCAAGGACGGGAAGTGGATTGTAAGTAATTGAAGGAAGTATTCTAAGTGAGTTTGAAGAAACCTGACATTTATGGACTTGGAAAGAAGCATACTCAAAGATATGAAGGCATACAGACAGGACAGGGCAGCTGATTGGGCTTTGTGGTGGTGGTTATTCTGCATTATCCTGTATACCTGTCTTCAGTACTATGTTATGTGCCCTGTAGTATGCTAAGTACTAGGGACACAAAAATGAAAAGATTTTGCTTTAAGGCTCTCCAAAGTAGTAGTGAGACAGGAGTGTAAAACAAAACCAACTCCCTCCAAGTCCCCTCCGCACCAGGAAACCTGAGTGTCGGACAGTAAGATCATTGCTATAGTGGAGATGGAGCCCGTGATGAATAGGTGAATAAGTGAAGGAGAGACTGTCTCCTAAGGAGGGCTTCCAAAGAAAGAATGCTTCATCAAGATGATGTTTCAGTTGAGACAGGAGAGATGAGTAAGGGTGTGAAAGGGGTAAGAATGGTGGCAGAGGGAGTAGAAGCCATGGCGATGGCTGTGGTGATCATGGTAGTGACAGTGGTGGTGGCAGTAGTGGTAGTAGTCTCAATAGAGGGTGCAGTATGTGTGAAGACAGGACACATTAGGGAAATAAAAATGTTAATTACCACCTAATAAGACACTAAAATGCCAGGAATTGTTAGACATTGGGAGTTAATGGGAATAATATTTATTCCTACTTTCATGGAGTTTACAATCTGGTGGACCTGACAGATTAAAAAAAATCAGTTCACGTAAAGCTACCTGGATGTGCTATAAACACAAGATGCTGAGAGAGGATGGTGGGAGTGGCTGTCCTATTTTAGATAAAAGTAGTGAGGGAGGGCTTACTGTGGAGATGACATTTGAGCTGAGACTTAAAGGATGAGAAGTCATTTGCCCTGTAAAGAAACTCACAAGACTTCATTCCAGGCAGGGTGGGGCTTACCTGAGGCCTGGAGGCAAGAAAACCCTAGAGGGATTCCAGGAACTGATAGTGGGTTTGGGTAGTGACTGATGGCTGGGAGGCTGGGGTGAGGTCAGAGAGACTGGGGCCCTGAGCAGGGCCTTGTAGGCTGTGGTAATCTGCAAACAACTTTATTAAATAAACCGTAGTATAACACTTATTCTTTTACAGTATATAATTAAATGGTTTTCAGTATACTCCAAATACCACTAT